AAAGGCTCCATTTCAGCATATTAAATCCAGCTAATATGGTTTTCTTTAAAGAAAGAAAGCTCTTATGCTGCCTTGTCACTTCAGATTATTAACAGCACACATTGTGTCCAAGTGCAGTGCAACTTCATGACCTGCACTAAGTGGCTGAATTGCTGCTGGAAAGACTTGAATGAAGCACCTGCATAGAATAATCATGAAACATTGCTCTGACAGCAGAGTGAAAATGGGAGGAGTGTTTATTACATTTCTGTGTCAACCATGCAAACCAGTTTATTTTTATTATGCCCTAAAGGTCTTCCTTTTGCAACCAGATTACGATTTAAGCAGAGCAAGGAAAACATGTAAATGGCTTAGGACTCTCCTTAGAAGTAACCCATAAAGCCATTCTGGATCTCAAATATAATTAATGTTCTTTCATTTTTCTCTTTCATTTCTCTCATTCAGGTTGAATGTTAGGAAAAATTTCTTCTCAGAGCAATGAGGTATTGGAACAGGTTGCCCAGGGGGATGGTGGAGTCACTGTCCCTGGAAATTTTCAAGAAAAGGATTGATACCACACTAAGTGACATAGTTTACAGTGGTCATAGTGATCTTAGTGGTCTTTCCAATCTTAATGATTCTAGGATTCCAACATTTATTTGGCTATCTCTACACTGAACCATTAATCTGTATGAATATCCTCTCTTGAACATAATCTAGTATATGTGGAACCTTGCCATCTGACTATTTGTGCCACAATAATATTATTTTCCTTCACAGCCAGTGGCTTAAAGAATGGGAGAAATCAATTGTCTTACTTGAGGGGGTTACAGGATATCCCTATTGGAAAAAATAGCTGCTAAAATAAGGTAGCATGCACTGTCACCATGAAATAAATGAGATCCTAGGAGAGCAAGAATTGAACTCTGAAATCTGATCAAAATCTGTCTTCTTCGTGTTAGAAAGATTGGAACAGGAAGGGCGGCTTGCAGGATAATTTATTATAGATCTGATGGGTCTATGCCACTAGGAAATTATGAGTTCTTCTTCCCTTAGTACTAAGTATGTTAAGTATCCTTCGCCATCCACATAGAGAGAAAGGAGGGCAAGCAAAATTCTGAGCTCTAGGTGACCCATGAGGTAACAGAATCCCCTTCAAGGGCACATGAACCTCAGCAAGTCATTAAGCACTGAGCAGCCTGGCCCCACATACTATCTAGGTGTGTTCACACATTACAGCTGCTGTGATCCATCATGTTCCTTCTCTCTTCACACTTCTGCAGTCTAAGATGATGCATAAATGGCCTTTTAAGTAGCTTAAAGCATAAGCATTCATAGAAAACTAAGCAGGTACTATGCCAAGGTTATTCTTCTTTATAATTGCAGGAGCCAAGGATGGCAAAATAGATTTTTCTTGATTGGAGATTAAATTAAACTGCATTCAAGCATTAATAATTAAGGATTATGCAATGATAAACAATTTTTTTTTTTTTTTTTTTTTTTTTTTTTTTTGCACACGAGTGACCTTTCAATGAGAAGTAACAGTTGAAAATTAATTCTGTTCACTAAATGTAGACCTCAGATGTCTGGTGAGGTTTAGATTATCCTTGGTTTTATTATACAGGATCTTGCCTCTTTCCCTGCAACAGAAAGTTGATACTTGAACATGCAAAGTATTCATGAAAAGGAAACCATTCTTTCAGGGTTTCTCTGCTTCATTTTTCCTCTGGTGGTGAAACAGTTGTTCTGTGGGTGAAGTGTACTGGTAAATGCTTGTGAGCATGAGATTTAGTGAAGCACAAGAGAAGGCCAAAGTAGAGCAAATTTTTATGGTGGAAGAAAAGGAAGGGAAGGGAGCACTGAAGGAAATACAGAATTTGAAGGAAATTAATTATGTTGCCAAGTCATATAATCCATTTCATAACATTAGCGTGCTCATTCAGTCCTCCTGTCACAAATTCAAATTCCTTACACCATTTACTATGAAATGTTTATATTTTTACAATCTCCATTCCTTTATGAACATTTAATATCCACTAGCCCACATTCTACGATTGCCCTTACATTTCAGTAATTTCACACTCCCTCTTCTTTATACCTGCCTTACTTAATTATATACACTTACAGGAAATTTGTATTTGAAAGTAAACAAATCAGGTAGTAAGGAAGTAAATTATTCTTGATTATTTGAGCCTCTTATCCTTTTCTAGTTTGATCTTTCTTGTACTTGTGATCATAAGTTATGTAGCTTACTAGTGCTTTGTGTATTCACACTTTGATACTGCTTTGTATCAAATCAAGCTTATCTTCTGTTTTCACTGTATCCTTTTATATTCATTTAGTAGGTACCAGCAACTTTCTGATCAGTTTTTTTTCTGTTACTTTCAAATGTAGAGGTCCCGGTTTATCCCAGACATCTTCTTAGTTCAAACATGCCTACCATTTTGTGGAATTAAACTTTTTCCCAGAGCAGTTCATATTGTTTTCGAAGTCATCTTACTCTCCCACATACTACTAAGACTGTTATTTCCTGTGTTAATGATCCTTTGAACTTTGTACAGAAGTAATTTCACTGAAATTTACATATTTAAAAGGCAACTAATAAATAGGTAGTTTATTAGTGGAATTCCAGAGGTACTCCAAAACTGTAAATTTATCACATTTTCACATTAGAGTTGGAGACTGCAGAAAGAAATAAACTCTGTATTTATTGTAGAGAGAGTAAAGATGATGATTAGTTTAGACATAATAACTAATACATAGGTGCCTGGATTTGCAGAGATGAATTCACTTCTCATTTCAGTAATAAATTATGGGGACAAATAAGTGTAGGGAGTTTGAAAACATTCATTGTGAGAATTATAGAATAACTTATGTTACAAGGGGCTCTAGAGTCACTCACTCACTCCAGACTCAGAGTTTAATAAAGTGTGTTATTCTTGCATATTTTTTCTCAGACAGTACTAATGAGAATTCTACCCAACAAAACATTCAACCTTCAATATTCACTAAATTGACTGAAGTTGATTTCAGATAGCTTCGTGTAAAATGTGCATTTCCTGCTGTGTTGTTTTGCTATATAAATCAAACTGCTAAGGAATAGAAACAGTATTTCATGAAAACAAATCTCATCAAAAAGGAGAAAATGACAAATATCTGTTATGAACTATTTGCAAAGCGTCTGCAAACAAACAAACAAAAACATTCACTAAAGACATTTGTGAATAATTTCAAATAATGAATAAATATTCACAGAGCACCAGCAGGAACAGCAAAATTCATCAAATAAAATTATTTGCCATATAGGACTCATACAACTCCTGTGTTCATCTAAAACTCCAAATGCAAACTTTACTGTACATTATTCAAAAAGTTTTAATAGTTGTTGATTACATTCTAAGTGAGGCATTTTTAAAATGTTTCTTGAAAACTTTATGCAAAATTATAAGTAAACTGTTCTAAGCATCACCTTTAGTTTTCATTATTGTCCGGATTTATTTTGATGCCCAAGTACTTCAAGAATTTTGCAGATTTATTTTGATATTCTCAAAGGAATGTAAAGCTGAATGTTAAGGCTGAAAAAAAAATGGAAAACAGGAAATACCCTGTGGAAAACCAATATCAGGAACAAGACCTAGATTCATCATGTGTAAACTAAGATACTTAATCAAAAGCATTTTTACCTTGTCTTCTCAGCAGCGAGGAGAGTTTGAATCAGATACTGCTGCACATTCCGCTTTATGTTGTTTCACTAAAATATACCATTAAGTACTTAGTCTGCTTACTAAAACTGGGTGCCTGCCTGCAGAGGAACAAAGCTTATAGATTATTTAAAGCATAGAAAACTCTTCAGATAGGATTTCATATTCAGCAGAACACTTTTGTAATCTGAGTACGACAGTATGTTCCCTTTCCAGCCCCCCAGCTTCTTCTTTTAGCCTAGTTTTATTGCCCAAGGCCTTGCTTATACTATGAGATGCAAAATATCTTGCCCTTAGCTCAGGGCTGATATCAGTCAAGGTTATTACGGACAATTGATGAGCAAAATACTTGCTCAAACTGTCTGTTAAAAGAACAGATATCACACTTGGTTTAATAGATAGCAATGCAAAATGATATGCCAGTCATATTACCCCATAAATAGGAAGCAGCAAAAGAGATCATTTAATTTCTTCTTGCAAGCAGGTGGTTGTATACCAGGATCTTGCCTTGAGTAGGGATACCTCTTGAGATTACTTACATTTGTGTAGACACCCCCTTGATGTGGTGGTGCCAGCTTGCAAATACAGACTTCTGTTAAGTAATTTATAGTTTTAAGCTGTACTAGCTTTGCTAAGGTTTGATTGTACAACTCTACCTTCTATGTAGCAAGTATTCAAGGATATTGAGCCATTAAGAATCATATGTTGCTGTGTCCATTGTTTAAATTACCATATTGTAGTTTTGCATTGACAAGTATCTGTCTGTCTCTTTCTTATAAGTGTATATCACTGTAGTTTACATCTATGATACAGAGTGCAGTATTTTGGAGTCTGTGCAGACAGAGCCTGAATGGACCGTGGGATGAAATTCACTCCATTTGTGCCTAAGATATAGCAGCAAAACTCTTCTTCTTTGCCTGGAAACATAAAGTTGGGCACAATATTAATCAAGTTAAACTAGCCTCAAAGTGTATTGACCATGGAGCAAGTCTGAAGACATTTGTATGACCTACACAGGTTAGATGTAAAGCTTAGGAATGTGGCCTCAGTAGTAGTGTCAAGAGAATTTTTGATGATTCTCCACAGCAGAAATGAGTTTGTCCCTACCAATGACCGAAAACCATTTCAGTAGTGTTATCCTCCTATGAGGAAACGGTTATGTCACAGCCTGAACTGATGTTTGAGCACCTGGTGAAGGGGGTGGCTGTCTGGCCAAGTAAGCACAGGTGCAAGCTTACCTGTGCTTAACATGTGACTGGTAGGGGCTCACTCTCTGGGCTCATTTAAGGGTTTGTTTCCAAAGGGAGAATATTTTCTGGATGAAAGCTACTTTCTGAGAAGGAATGCTTTAGGGACAGAGACCTTATCATTAGTTGTGTAGGTCAATTTTTTTTTTTTCCCCCCCTATATACTCGTCTAATAGTACTTTGCCAGGTACTGTAAAGAATGCATTGGGAAAAAAATCACTTTTTCTAAGGACCAGCATCTACCAATGCTATTCTGGGGCTAACAATCTTTCTGGGAATTGATGAAGAATAATCTTGTATCTCATTTGAAAGTAAGCTTAAAAAACTCTATCTTGTGTTATTAGGCCATGAAAGAGTATTAATTTGGTGGAGGAAAAAAAAAAGTAGTGTTGTTACTTTTGATGAAAATAAGCTAAAACATTCATGTTCAGATATTCTGATTGAGTTTGCCTATTTCATCTTTTCAGAGTTGTTTAAAACACACTGGGAAGGATAAACAAAGAAATCTGTAGAGACACCTGGAGTAGAAAGCTTTTTTTAGAAGCAGCCTGAATGCAACCTTTGGTTCAGTGAATATAAGTTGAGTGTGTCCGTGAAGAAACATATTTAAACACCACTATTATTGTTAAATTGTTCTTACTATATTTTCACACCAAATTTATGTAATTGTCACAGTGACATCTCAGTGAAATAACTGCTCACATTAAGCTTTCTTCTAAAAAAGTAAAAAGTTAGATGGGAAAGAGGAAAGGAAGAATAGCTCAAGAAGAGGGACAGAGGCTGGGAAAATGTACTTGGGGGAGCAATCAGAAGTAAGGAAAGTAAAAAAGGGAAAGGAAGGTGCATTTAAGTAAGAGATATCCGTCAGGAGTTGTATTAGAAGATGCCTCAAGATCAGAGGAGAAAATATTTGAGAGTTGTGAAAATCATGAAGATAATAATAGGGTCAGCATGTAGTTCAATCATCAGTGCACTACTTGCTTGACTACATTCTTCCTTCAGCAGGTCATTGCTGCATGCTTGCTGCCACTGAGATGTTTAGTTAGACTGAGGACTTTGTTACTGGGTAAGTGGAAAATTTTTATCCGAAAAATTGTAGCAAACTTATTTTCCTAATATCTTCAGTCAGTATTCTCTGTGTATCTTCCTCTCAAATTCTCAGTTAGCCATGAAAGCTTTCAACTCCTCAGTATTCTGAAAATTGTAATTCTAAAGAAGATTCAGCTTTAAATTAACGCTTAGCCTACTTCTATATTTTATCTGCTTAAGCATAGGAAGGCTCTGAAGAGGAATCTGGGTAGGCTAGATAAATAGGATGTCGATCACAAAACTTGTCAAGACTAAACGCTGAGTGCTGTATTTGTCAGAACAACTTCATGCATCGATATAGTCTTGAGGAAGAATGGCTGGAAAACTGCACAAAAAAAGATCTAGGGTTGCTCTTCAAAATCTGGCTGAACATGAGCTAGTATCATGCCTAGGAAGCCACCAAGACCCATGCGGTTCTAGTCAGTGTCCATCAAAAGATGTTCTGCAGGGGAAGCTATTGTCTCACCTGTAGACTGTACTAATGTTGAGTATTTTATTCAGTTTTGGGCTCCTGCAGCTCTTGCTGAAGGTAGGCCTCATCACTCTCTTCCGCCACCTGAAAGGAAGCTGCAGTGAGGAGATGTCTATCACTTTTCTCACTAGCAAGTAAAAAGATGCAACAAAATAGTTTTAAGTTGCACTGTGATGGTTTAGTTTGGACATTAGGAAGAATTTTTCAACAAAGAAGGCAGTGAAGCATTGGAAGCGACTTTCCAGGGAGGTGGTGGATTCCCTTTCCGTGGAAATATTTGAGGCATGTGGATGTGGTGCTTACAGACATGATTTAGTAGGTCATTTCAATGGTTGGACTTGGTCATCCTAAAGTTTTTTTCCAGAGTAGATGATTCTGTGATTCTGACTCAATTATAGCACTGGGAAGTCCAACTGGGCATACTCTTGGTAACATTGGGTATAAAGATCTGATTTTTAAGTAATGAAAATACTTTTTGTGAAGGCTATGTAACTTCAATTACCTCATGATTTGGCCATAGTTGCTAAGGGTATTGACTGACTTCAAGTGAACAGTCAATACTTTCAGAATGAAAAGTTGTATGCCTTGACTCTATTTTTCAAAGACAAACTTTCTCAGAAACATGTATACTTTCCGCACTTCAGAAAAATAGACTTAAGAATAAAAAGCAAAGCTTAGAATAAAGTAAACCTAGGGTATATGTAACTGAAGTTTGAAGTATGGAACATCATTGGGATGCAGGTCCAGATCTCAGATGAAAAGTAATTATTTAATTTGAAAGAAAGTATTGTGTTATGTTCATAGAAACATTTCATGGAAAGGAAAAATTCTAACAAAATAGCATCTAATCACAGCGAGGGAAGATTAGCTGGAGAAAGGGAGAGAAGAAGCTTGAAGGGGTGAAAAGAGCCATTAAGTGAATTGTGTGTGTTCACTGCCTTGCCTATGAGCTGGAAAACTGTAGCCAATGCATGATGAATTATACTGAAGTACACCAATTAAATGGGTATTTTTGAATCAAAGCATCCTGACAGCTCTGCTTCCTTCTCATCCCATGCCATTCCTCACTGCCACGTTGCACAGCCTAATATAGTGTGACCTACTCCCTTCTGCTTTTAGCTTTGCTGGATCTTAAACTGACATATTCTTCACAAACAAGAATGTCTGTGAGTTGCTTTGCTTTTTGAAACAGCCCTTGGCTGGCAACTATCTTACAGATGGATGGATACTTAATACAAAAAAAATCATGTTTCATAATGAAGTGCAATATCAGTCTTAGTTTCTGTGCAATCTCAACAGTCTCAGTGTTTTCAAATCATCTGTATGATTTCTTTATCTCCACCTACATCTCCTAAACAATGTGCAAGTCTTGTAATATTTCTTCTATTGCTTTGATTCCCTTAAGTTTTCAAAACCATTTCCACGTTTATTGTGTTAGTATCTTCACCTTGTTCTTACCTTGTAGCCTTGGAAGCATATTTCAACACAGGAATGGGATTTTGACTTGGTTTAGTGAGTGAAGATCCTCAGAGTCAGGGTAAATTAAAGGTCTGTTATTATTACCATTCCTACATCTGTGGATTTTTTTCAACTTGCATGCTCTTTTCACAGTACCTACTGCATTAAACAGTTAGAGAAAGTTCCATAAGAAACTTTAACCTACTTCTCTTTTCACTCCACCAGCCCATAATATTGCTGCCTCATTTGTTATCCAGGAGCATGGGCAGCACCTCCTACTCTTTGTAGTTTTCCACCGTATGGGGACCACACAAGCCTGAGCATCTCTTCTGAGGCACCTGTCAGTGGAATAGTGCTTGTCTGAAGTAGTAGAGAAAACCAAAGGAGTCTGGAGATGCTTTGTTTCCAACTTGGTGACAGCATTAGGATACATCACAGCCATCCCACTTGGAACTGACATCTTTACCCATGAGTGGAGTAACATGTTTTCTGCAGGTAAAGTGATGTAGTTGTCATCACCAGAAGGTTGCTTTTCCTCCAATATTGCTTCTCTTATAAGAGGATGATATGGAAAGCCTTTTGGGATCTCAGTTGCAACATTCCTCATCTGTGTCTTAACACATTAACATGTTATTACCATTACCACAATAACATGTTAAAGTGTTTAACATGTGCTTTCACAATCAGATTTTATATCACTTATTGTGGTAGTCTTCTGTGCCATTCACTTCAATCTTTGCCATATTTTTTTAAATGCATTAGACCTATCTCATTCCTACTTTTTGCTTACAGTTTTAGGATACAGTGGACAGCTTGATGCACACTGCTATAATAGAACAGTGTGTGGAAAGTTCCTTTTTTTTTTTTTTTTTTTTTTTTTTTTTGGTAACGAGCTTTTATCTTCCAGCCACTAAATTTCTTAGAAGCCCAGTGCTTTTAACATTGTTGTTGTTGTTGTTGTTTTTACATTTACATTACAGAGTGCAGCCTAATGTCTTTATTCTGTAAAGCAGTAGCCACATAGCTCTCTTTCCCTTTGCTGATTTAGCTAATGATATTGCTGTAAGCAAATATTTTCCCATATTCTTTCATGGGACTGAAGTCTGTTTATGCCTCATGTCAATTTTGGATTGTGTAAGTAATTGATATGCATGTAGACCATTACACAGAAGTAAGCACTATTATTTTCATTACTCGGCTTTTAATGCCTAGAAAGGAGGTTGCAATATTCCTGTTGAACTGCTCTCCTTAAAGGCATCTGTAAGTGTTTCTCTCCTACTAGAATGTGATTTGATTTGGACTTTGAATGTGTCTTTTGCCACTGCATTGATCAACCCCTCTGGCCTTATGAGATGCAAAACAGAATCTTATTGCTTATTGCTCACAGTACATAATCCATTTCTTGAAGAGTTAAAGGGAAAGAGATCACCCAGACTTGCTCACAGGTAAAATACAAGACATTTCTAGAATTCTCATCTTTAGAATGGAGCTGAATAACAGGAGCTGTCCTTGAATCTTCATGCCCTTGTCTCATCTCAGCGAATGCACTCTGAGTCTTTTGGTCTTCTACCTATGTCAGCCACCTGGGCTGCCTCAGGTGTTGCACTCCTTTCCATTTGGACTTGCTCTTTGAAAAGTGTATGCTTTAAAGCCTATCAGGAGCACACTTCTGGACTGTTTTTCATGGAAGTCATATTTTGTTTTTACTTCAGCTGCTGCTAATTATCTGAGACTCTTCACAGGATAAGAGATTTATGTATACATGTTTTTTTGCATTTCATCATGTTTTTAATAGGCTTGCACTATAAAACTAATATTTGCACATCCGAAGATGCTTGTATCTGCAGCTTGGCTGGGTTTGTTTGGCCACATGAACTTCTAGACACATGAAAATCCCGGAAGATCAACCAAAATACTCACATTTCAAGGGAGGAAGACATATGGGTCTTGCTGGCCCTACGTTGGGTCAAATACACGTTCTTGCTATTAACAAGCCATTATTAGGAAGACTGTTCTTTTCTCCTATGCTCTGGTAACTAACGCACAGCCAGAATCAGTTCTTAAATTTACTTTTTTAAAGGATTGTATATTTCACAATTTAGCCACTATATGTTTGACCTTCTACTGGGCTCTGTTGTGATTTGTGACTGGATTTCTTGATATCTTGAAGCTCCCTGGTCTCTCATGCTGCTTGTGCTTCTGCTTTTTCTAAAACAAGAAACCTGGCAAGAATTTTAACCAAAAGTTAAATATGGATATTAACTAAAAGCAAAGGCTGCACTGATGCCCACTTCTAAAACTGATATCTGTTCCAAAATTATTGCTACTTGAATCAAATTTAGTGAATGTCCTCAAACAATATTGAAGAAGTGGATGAGCAGGATCCTCTGGGAGGAAGAGCGCAGTTCACTCAGAATGGTCTCCCCAGTGTTCTTCCATGCTGTTGCTCATATTCACATGTAACAGAACTATCCCCCGTGCATCTATGTCAGAGTTGCCATGGTTACTTTGAACACAGTTTATTTTCTAATGTGAACACAGTTTAGTACAGAGTGCACAGAGGGAACTGCAGTATGCTCTAAAGTGCACAAATGTCACAAATATCACGTCCATTGTATTCATGGCCATGCCAAGGCCCTGATCTTTAGGCGTCATCCAGTTTTAGAATTGCTAGATAAGGTCACAACCTCTTTCTTTCCCTCGAGTATCAGTCGCATTGTAACTCTGTTAACTTATCCTGCACTTTCACACATGGGATACACAAAGTGTCTTTATAAAGAGGTGCGAAACAAAAACAATGTAAACATAGGGCAGTTTTAGGGGATAGAAAGGTCTTGTTGTCCTGGAAGTAACAGTAGAACCTAATTCAAAGAATTCTGTCAATGTTCTTCTCAGTTTTGAAGAAATAATTCTTTCTTCCAAGAAGATGTGCAACATTGTAATGGAGGCTATAAGCTTTTAAGCGGTTTGAAAATGACAGCAGTAATTTCTTATAACTTCCCCATTACAGCTTTCTTGCATGGTTTAGGAACTTTTTGTCATCCTTTGTTTCTCAACTTATCTAGTATGTAATATCAGAGTTAGGCTAATTTTATGCCACTTCCAGGAAAATTGTGAACTTCTATATGTATTTAAAAAAAAATAAAATGGATGGAGTGTGTTAATTTTGCTTTTATCTGCTTTAAAGAAAGCAGTTCAATATGTGCCTTTCCTGCTTAGAAATGTAGAGTGCAAGTCAGTCAAATCCTGCGCATATTCAGCTGTGTGTGCCTTTCATAGCTTTACCAGTGCTAATGCTGCCAATGGAGCAGAAAAAGTAAATGACTGGTGACTGGCTACAGTGCAAAGAATGGAAGATCAAGAACATTCTAAACAGATACAATTTTTCTTTCTTTCTTTCTTTTTTTTTTTTTTTTTATTTCCAACTTCAAAAATGCATCCAGCTAAAGCCCAGGAACCTAGTGACTTCTCACACTTTCCCCTGTAAGTAGACTTTTCTGTATGCTGTTTTTTTTATTCAGTTATTAGACTTGTTGGGATATTAGAAACCTGTTGGCATATGAAACACTGACAGATTTTAGTTGAATCTTAGGACAGGTTCAATTTAATGAAAAGTCTTTGACATGCACTTAAGGGGGCTTCTTCAGATTTGCCTGAATACTTGGTGAGATACCTTGTGATTTATTTCCATTAATTATCAAGATAGGTGGTATATGATGTCTTCATCAACTGGAGATGTTTACAATGTAATCATAAGAGTTAGACTGAGTTTGTTTTACCTAGCTAAACTGAAATGTTAGCTGGGTTACAGCCTGAATGACTGAAAATAGAACATATATCTGAGAATATATTCCCACTTAGCACACAATACAAAAAAAAAAAAAAGTGCTCAAAAATGACTGTTTGACCTATGAAGTATCTCTCAGCCAACTGTTACATATTAAATCAACTCCTAAATATCAAAGGGGAAGATGCATTTTCAAGAGGGCTTGGAAATGTGCAAGAACATCATTTCACCAACTGCTTCCACCCAGAAGAAGATGGAATGAAAGTTCTGCCCAGGAGAGCCTATAGCATTAGAGGATATAGGAAACATGCTTAAAATGAACAGTAAGATATTCCCTTCTCCAAAAAAATTAATAAAATTAGAATGAGAGAGGTAGATATAAACTACAAGAGAGAAAGAACAGCAGCAAAATTTCAGAGAATAGCTGTTGCTAATCAGCCAGTGGCATAGGTGCCACTAAGCCTATTTAAGACCGTTTTCCTCTGATAGGATAAAAGATTGTTTGCTACGAGTAATGACTTCTCACCCTCATCAACTTTTTTTTGTTGTTCAGGAACTCCTTTGAACTTTAACTACAAACTAATTCTCCAATCACATGGCACACAACAGAAAGGTTTTAGCAGAAGCATCTTGTGAAACATAAATAAAAAGTGGATATTGAAAGAGTGAGTGGATAAATTTAGGTATTTCTTTGGCATCAGGAAATAAATTGTAAGCTTCTACTTTAGCGATTAAGTGCAACATTATTATGAAAGTTTCTCCCCATCCCTTGATTAAAACATAAATAAGTATTGTATATTTTATGAAATGTCTCTCCTGTAAGATTCTGACACAATTAGTAAAAACAAATTATTATCAGTTTTACAAAACTGATAGTAAGTATCAAACAACTTCTGATCTGCTTAAAACAACCAGCTCTACCCCTAAATACCCACAGTAATGCGAGCAAAAATGAAGGCTCTATAGACCATGGTGGTTTTTAGTACATTTCTTTAAATTATATTTTCATTATTTTATACACAGAAGTTGGTTTTAACTTCGAAAATTTCTGGTTTAATACATCATTTTTTTTTGTTGTTGTTGTTAAGTTCTCCTTTAAAATGAGAGAAATGCAAGAAAAGGAATTGAGCTCTCTGAAGTACATCAAATTAGAATTTTGGTAAAATTACTAGCCCAAATTCAAAGTTGAACTGAGAGAGGGAATATTAAAAAATGACAGCTAAGAGACAGAGATATCTCACACAACAAAAGATATCTATGATGGCTATAAAAATGTATGCCAAAAATTCCTTAGGAAAAAAACCAACATGCTATCAAAATTGTAGCTGCAGTTCTTAGAATACATTTGATAAAAGCAGGGTAACAAGGCTGAATGAAAAAGACTACAAAGCTGTAAGAAAATAGAAGTGTGGGAAATGGAAAATGGACATGATCCATCCAGTAACATGAATTTTTGTGGTTGCTTTGGATCAAAAGAGAAAAGATATCCTGTAAGTCAGTGAAAATGAAATGGGAGCATAACTCTCTGGAAATCAATGGGAGGAGGAGACTATTCTTAGTCATCAAAGAACAAGCAAGGCTTAGATCTAAATGCTGTTGGGCAGGAAAGAATATATGAGAATAACTCTGTGTGAGGGCTGAGGGATTGAAGGATTGGAGGTGTTTTCTAGGTAACCTGTTTGTGCAACAAAATTTATTTTAAAATTATCAGAGATAATGGAAAGAGGCTGACTGGGAGAAAAATATGATGTGTTTGAGTGCTCAGTTTTACTTAAACAGAGGAAATGCAGTGTATGAAAAGCAGTGACAATGAGAATGTCCAGGGACTTGCTGCTGTAACGGTGTGCATGCATGTGCATCATACCCCATAATTCTTAATGACAATGTATGCAACCTATTAATTCATACAGTAATGTCAGGTTTTTCTTTTGCTTATTTCATCACACAAGCCAAAATCTTTCTAAAGCTCACCCTGCAAGATCCTTTTGGAATTTATATGCTCTCACTGATTGCCTGATGTAAGGCTGGTTTCTCACAGACTGGCTCTCCCAGTAACTCAAGAGTAAGTGAAATGTGTGGACCTCAGGAGAGAAACTGAAATTTGTGCTTATCTATTTGGATGTACTCAGGAGGACATTTTAGAATTACTGGAGGAAGGAGTTAGTGAACTGTTGAAGCCTTCAAGATATTTATAAGCTTGTTTTCTACCATATGGAGCAATACAATAATCTTGGTTAAGCAGGAGCTTCTAAAGTTAAGCAAGAAAGGTAAAACCCACGTATCCTGATTCGAATACAAAATCGAATACAAAATCCTATTGCTGTGGTAAGCTTCAAAACCTTACAAACAGGAAAACTAAGTACTGCTAAGTTATCTTCAATATAAATATTAATCATAAACCTAACTAATTTTGTTGGCTTTATGTCACTATAATTAGAGTCTCTCCTTGGGGTCAGTAGAAGATTTTGCAGTGGAAATGTGCATATTGCATAGAAATAATATTTTTTTTCCTGTATAAATAATATTTTTTTTCCTGTATGTACAGAACCAATTGGTGCCATCTAATTTTGAGGTGCTAACAGATGTCTGGGCAATTGAGTTCATTTTCTGGGGAATGAATGCAAAATCCAATCAACTTGTGTTGGAAGACTGATCAGGATAACAAAACTGAGTCAGAGAATGATCAGCCACATTGCTGGTTTCTTTCTCTAATATGAGGAAATAGAATAGATTCTGTAAATACAACTCTTAACAAAGATTTCTTCCATGGATATCATAGGAATTATAAAATTGTTCAGGTTGGAAAAGACCTTAAAGATCATCAAGTCCAATCTCAACCCAACTATACTACCCTGAAATGGGTAAAAAATGGGTCCTAAAATGGACCATAACATTGTGTGCGCATATTCATCAATGGAGGAGGATCCCATTTTTTTGCATGTATGGTATGTATCATGAATTACAAAAAGAGAAGAGCTCAGTATCATGATTCAAAAGGCATGTAACACCAAATGAAAAAAAAAAATTCTTTGGTGGCAGGATTGGTAATCATTGAACGTGATAAGCAGCAAGAGGGAAGTTTTGTTTCATGCTTTGTATCAGTCTGTATGCCGTGCTTTGCTCTTTGTATTTCTTTCATATATTTAGTGTCCTCACACTGAAAAAGTAAAGCAGAAGAAAATCATGCTTCTATTCTTCCATTGTCTTAGACACAGATTTATTCTCTGCAACATGGATGCTGATGTAGTTGGACAGAGACTGTGGGACCACAAGAGCAAGTGAGGGGAGAAGTAAGGTTAGAATAGGATGATCAAAAGAAACAAGAAAAAATAAAACAGCTCGCTGTTTCTGCTGCTTCTGCCAGTGGTGATGCTTTGCAAAACCATCTAACTTCAGTAATTACTGTGTGGAAAGCATCATTTTGGGTATGCAAAGAATTTGTAGCATCCTGAAAACTCACTTTTTTTTTGAAAGTATTACTTAAAGTATTTGTGATATTTTTCACAGTATTTTCATGGAGAAGGGAAAAATGTTATGCTCTATGAATGATAGGACCAGACACAGCACATCCAGAATATAATTGTTCTGTGCAAGTGTGATAAATATGTTCTTTCAGCCAGTCTAAACTTGTGATACAATTGCTTCAAGACAACACTAAATTCTTCCTAAGAATCTCAACTTGGTTATATCCTGGAAAAAAAATGAAAAGATGATGATGAAAATTAGATGTAATGTAGCATGGCACTGGCAAAAGAGGAAGAAAATTAAAACTGAGTTTCCCACCTAATTGCTCAGGAAAAAATCACTAAGGTTTTAAGGCTCTCATTAGATATCCTGAGATTTGTGATAGTTGACATGGTGAAATGACTAAGTCATATCAAATGATGTTCAAATTTTCTTTGTCTGCTAATTCATCTACTTTGTATAAGAAAAAATAAAGTCTTTTTCTATAAAGCATTTGGCACTATCAAAATTTGGCTATTTGTTTGTGGATTCTTCTGAACATGTTGAATTATGTTTAACTTCATTACAAATCTCCAAAGACTCTTAGCTTCTAATCAGACCCAACAATAAACAGCATAAAAAAACATGAGTAAGTATTCCTTCAAGCTTTCTAATTACAGCATTTCTAACCCTCTGAGCAATATTTCTGGAGGGCTTTGATTTCATCATATCTTAAGCAAAAACTAATCTGAGCTAGTTTTCTAGTTTCTTAGAAGGAGGGAACAGCTGAGCCTGTTAGCAGCTCATTATGCAGCAGTCTACTCTGTCTCACTACTGACCATGGTAGAATGGGGTAATGTTTCTTGGAAGACAGATAAAATTATGTTTCTAATCAGTCATTATCAAAGTATATATAGTATGTTTGGCAAATGAAAGGTGATTAGCTTTGTTGTCCTTTATAGTTTTCAGTTTTAAAAGCTCTGTTCAACAAAGTGCAAATTTGTCAGATAGTTTTGAAGATGGTTCCTTCTCCTCTTAAATGTCATGTACTGTGGTTCTGTGAGCTATTGAACAGCTACCATATTCCTCCTTGGGTTTAAATATAAAGAATCATTTAAAGACTTGGGGGATTTAGAAAAAAAATGTATTAAATTGATAATAATTTTAGATTGTAGGGTGGAGAAGGAAATATTTGTTATCTTTTTTTTTTTTTTTTTTTTTTTTAACCATCAGGAAGGGAATAAGAACAACTAAAGAAATGTTCTGTAGTACAATGTCTACTGCAGCAATTGAGTACTGCAGAGTCTGTATTTTTTTAAATTAGATTAATTGTTAAATATCTAGAAGTCATCCATAAACAGTATATTCATCTGTGTGAGAATCCTTCTTCGTTTTTTTGGCTCAAAGCTTGCTTCCTGAGGTATTTTGTTGAGGAGGCAAGTGATGGGTGTTGTGTGGCAATCAACATCGCTATGTGGACAATTTTACATCTTTGGAGCTGTTTGCCTTTGGAAGATAGTGCTCAGGACTGTTTACTGGTGGAAGAACTAGCCTGTGACCAAATAACTCCTGTTTTCTATGGGAGGCTGGGGGATGATACTGTTGTATCCTGCGAAGGCAAGATACAAGTTGGTGCCTCCCTGCTTCCTCTTATCTGCTGGCAAGGCCAGGAAGATAAGAACAAAGGATGTTTCTGCTGAGGCCCCAGAGCCAGAAGCTGCCACTCAAAGGAGAGCTGACTCAACCACTTTGGATTTGAGCTGTCACTGCAAAGACAGCTGACTCAACCACTTTGAAACCATTGAAAAGGGGCCATCATCACCATGGTCGTCGTTGTGCTTCGTGGTCATTGCTGTCAACAGGACAACTCTGCCTGACAACCCACCACTACTGAAGATCAAAGACTGAACTACGAACCTCGCTGGATCCATGGTGGTGATTATGTCCCTCTTGCTGCCTATAAAGACTCCTTGCTTCTTCTTTTCTATCTTTTCTATCGCCCTCCTTCCCTTCCCTTCCCCATTACCCTAATTCATAATAGTGTCCATCCTCCCCTTCCCCATTTCCCTGATTAAGATTTGTAATAAGCTGGTCGGACCAACATTTGAACCCTTGCTTCTTAATCTCACGCCGGGTACATAAATAATAAAAGAACCTCCTCTCCCTCCTAGTAATTGGAGCGAGACAATCTGACACATAATCTCACTAATATTTTTAAAATATAATCTTGAAAGAGAAAATCCCTATTTCTTTTACTGCTCTGAGA